TTCTTTAGACTGAACTGTCGCGCTTCTCGTTGCGTCACACCTCAACCCGCCTCAAAGCCAACGCTGATTGGACGTTCGTTTGGTGAACGGCTCCAAATTTTCTTCAACGGAGAGTCTCCAGGCTGATTAGCGAGTGAAACCTTGAAAGCTCGCGAGATCAGGATGGTCTCACGAGGCTAGGGGTGGGCAATTCCAGTTCCTCAGGGCCGCTATCCTGCAACTTTTAGATGTGCCTTAGGTTCAATTCAATTCAGTTTATTTCTATAGCGCCAAATTTACAACATCATCTCAAGGCACTTTACAGTTCACCACATCATACAATCAGATTGATTCAAAGTTTTCTATCTGAGGAAAAACAGTTGATTTAATCAACTGATTGACTCAAATACAATCCCTCACACTAAGCATGCTTGTAGCGACAGTGGAGAGAAAAAACTCCCTTTGAACAGAAAGAAACCTCCAGCAGAACCAGGCTCAGTGTGAGCGGCCATCTGCTGAGGCCGACTAGGGTTCAAGGAGACAGAAGCAGACATAGAAAAAGAAGCATAGATACAAAAGGCAACTGTCAACCAGCTCCACAGGCGGCCCCGTCCAGGAAACACACAGCCAGGCAGACGAGCTCCGAGCCAGCTCCCATGTCAGAGGATGAAGAGAGCACATCCAGTTAGTCACAGTCAGAGAAACAGGACTACACTGGAAAACAGGCCAACATCTATAAACAAAGGTGTTGATGGCAGCAGCACAGCTGATATTTCTCTCCAGGATGGAGTCACAGCCAAACAGGAACAGACCAGATGAAGCTACTATGAGAAAAAGCAGAGAGAGCAGAACGTTAGAGATTGAACTAACAGATTCTGTGGGAGAATAGAGATAGAATGAAGCAGAATGATGAAAAAGGGTTCCCTGGCCGTTTCTCAGTTCACGAGAACACGAGTACGTACTCGCGTTCTCGTCAAGTCCGTTCTTGGCGAGAACGCAGGAAGATCGGACTTGACTAGAACGCGAGCACGCAAGCACGTATGTGTATTGGAACAGCAGCGTACTCGTGACGTCATCTGCTGGTCACTCTGGTCCGATCAACGTCGGACTTTTTTATTTTTATTTCGCACTAACTCTGTAAACAGGCCACACAGGGAGGCTTCAATGTATAATGTTATCGCCTCAAACGATTTCAAAACGTACTTTTGAAGAACAACAGCAGCAGAAAGGGGAATTTTAACTTACCACTGTGAGCGCTGTCTCGAATCAAGCTGCGGCCGCGGGGCATTCTGGGGAAGCGGTCAGTCTAAAGAACGCAGAAGTCTGCTCTGATGCATGCTCGATAAAGAGGGCTGGGCGAGAACAACATCTGGGGATTTAGTGCGTTCTCAATCTGGCGTTCTCAAGAATTGGAACGGTACTCGGGCTGAGGCTGATGACGTGTCACGAGTACACGAGAACGCTCAAGAACGCATATTGAGAAATGGCCTCTATGTCCTCCAGCAGTCTAAGCCTATAGCAGCATAACTATAGAGATACTTGGAGGAACTGACTCTATACTAAGGAGGTAACTCAGCCATTTGATTCAGGTGTGTTGGACCAAGGACGGATCTAAAAGTTGCAGGATACCAGCCTCCAGGAACTGAAATCCACCCCTGGTTTAGAGCCTCGAGCGGAGCACCGTATCCCCCAGAGAAGATTCACGCTTTCAAACCCAGAAAAAATGCGTCACACAAGGCATAAACTTTCCTTTATCTTTTAGTGACCGTATTGACAAAGTAAAGCCTTGATTTACATGTAAGAAGAACAAGCGGGTTGTTGGTTGGCAACGCATATCCAGTGTCCATGGAAACCAGCTGTTGCACTGATTGATGAATAGGGGTAGCTCCACTGGATCAGTTTATATTAGATTATCCTCTGCATCTTCAGAATATATACACTAACAAGGCTTGTCGACAGAAATAGCAAAACGGCATCTCCATGCATTTAAACATCTAAATATGATGAAGACAATAAGGTGAAGTTGAAACTAAGACCAGGAAATAAAAAGCATTTTAATTTATTGAAATGTGGGATGGTTGTTGATGCCTGGTGATTTTTCAGGTATAAAGATCTCTTGGGTTTTCGGACGACGGTTGTAAAATCGAAAATATCCAACGAACAGTTGTGTGGATGAAAATGTCTCGGTAACGTGAAAGGTTAGAGAAGAATGATCACACTGGTGCCAAATAATGTAAAGGCAACTTTAGCTGAAAGAAACACTCATTTCACCAACAATATGGGGCATCTTTTCCCCTCACAACGTTTTTTTTGGTCTCTTTTAATTTGCTAGGTTAAACCTTTTCATTTTAACTACTTAATTTATTTCATAATTTGTTTGACACCAATTAACGGAGCCAGGTATTAATATTGTACGAATTTCTAACAGCTTTAGTCACAGTGAATAAAGGAGCAAAGCAGCAAGTTTTTATACTGTAGTAGTCATTAAAAATTTCCCCACACTGGAAAAAATATATATCTAGATAAGTCATTTTTTCTTAAAATAATTGCATTTGTTCTTGAATTAAGGATGTAAAAGAGACATTTTGCCAATGGAACAAGACAATTTACATTTAAAATAAGAAAACACAATTGCATTGTCTTATTTCAAGAGCAAATTATCTAATTATCTTATTTTAAGAGTAAAAATGCTCATTCCATTGGCAAACTATCTCACTTACCTACTTGAATCAAGGGTAAATACACTTCATTTAAGCAATATTTACTTATTTCTAGATTGTTTTTCCAGTGCATTTTCCTTGATGGGCCCTTGGCTGGTCCCCTACAAATCCTTTTTAAACATCAATATTTGTACGAAAATGTTCTGTCATGATTTGTGGACATTAAGATCTAAAGAGAAGCGTCATCTCCTGGTCAGACCGTGTACACTGGAAAAAAATCAAAATCTAGATGAGTCATTATTTCTTAAAATAAGTGCATTTGTTCTTGGATTGTGGAGGTAAAAGAGACATTTTGCCAATTGAACAAGACAATTTACATTTAAAATAAGAAAACACAATTTCATTGTCTTATTTCAAGTGCATGTTATCTAATTATTTTATTTTTAGAGTAAAAATACTCATTCCATTGGCAAACAACCTCATTTACCTGCTCAAATTAAGGGTAAATACTATGGATGCACGTTATTGGGATTTTGGCCGATATCCGATATGCCGATATTTTGAAACTCATGTAGCCGATAACCGATATCGATACCGATGTTAAAGCTGGACAAAAATAAGTAGTCATTGAAAATAGTAGTTTTGTTATCCATTTCTGACACTTTGAAAAATAATATACTCAAATATATTTTCATATGCTGATATCAAATTGATTTTTAAAAACACGGTATCGATCTATTTTACTTTCAAAATCTCGTGAAATTTCATCGTTCTGTTACAAACTCTCGTGATATTTTGCAAATTCTTGTGAGATTTTGTTAGTAAAATAGATCGATACCGCGTCAATATATCAACATATAAAAATATGGCAACATTTCGTGAATTTTCGGGGGATTTCGTAGCATAACGATGACATATAGCAATATTTCATTAGTAAAAGAGATTGATATGGTGTTTTTAAATGGCAATATATCAGCATATGAAGATATTGTGATATTTTAATGTATCAATATTTTTTCCCTCGACTTTAGAAGTTTTTCAGTCTGTAAAAAAGAAGTTTTTAAGGAAGAAGATGAAGTAGTATTTTTTTTTTTTTTAGACTTTAGAAACTCAGAAGCTGATCAAATATCGGGTTAAATATCGGTGGGGTGGCCGATGTCCGATATTCAGTTTTAAGGCCGATACCGATAGGGGGCCGATTATATCGTGCATCCCTAGTAAATACACGTAATTTAAGACATTTTTACTCATTTCTAGATCGTTTTTCCAGTGTAATTTAATAAAAGGGTGGAGTCAGAGTAAAAAATTTTGCAATAGTCGCTGGGAGTTGGAGGGAAGTTGGCTGCCATTCTGCTGGCGTTTGACTGCGAAGGGCCATTTTCTACGGCTGCTACTGTAAGATGCAGCCTCATCATAACTGCAAGCATGTCAACCTGCATAATTTTGGTAACCCTCACCCCTTTCCATTGATATTACATAAAAATATTTAGTAAAGACCTCGCTCAGGGGACCCTTATGAAGATGCCACCCTGAGCAGTGAGCCATATCACTCACATCAAAAATGCCAGTGCTAATTATCCATCCAACCGTCCATTTTCTGACACACTTTATCCCGCGTGGGGTTGTGAGGGGTGCTGGTGACTCCAGCTGTCTACAGGCGAGAGGCAGGGTACATCCTGGACAGGTTGCCAGTCCATCGCAGCAGTGCTAACAAAGTTAAATAAAAATCCTGAGGGTTATCAGTCTGCAGATGTTTTTGCATTTTCTTAGAGCACATATCATATCCCACCTCAACTATTTAGTCATGCTGTCTCACAATAAAGTAATTGGAGCATAATAAACAAAGCCGAAACCCAGACGATTAGTTTATGCATGAATATACCATCTTGGTCAAAGGTTCAATACTCCTTGACTGTAAGAAAGGGATTCCCTGTGCTGACATATGGGAGAGAGCACACCTTTCTGAGAGTGATTTATGAACAGCTGCAGGCCCAGATGTGGATCTGTCGACGCTGGCATCATGAGGGGAGGCAGACGGCTTTGTATCAAAGCTGAAGCACACAGCACCGGGGGAGACTCACCATTTTCACATCAATAGCTCAGCGTGGACAGCACTTTAAAGACAAGTCAAGGCTCTAAATGACTTTCATGTGTTTTTTTTTTTTTTGGTATATTCAATAATTTCACCTTGTTTTTCTTTGACTAGATCAGTAAAATAGCTCAGTTTCTAGAACAGCTTGCTGTTTTAAATCCTATAAGAAACTTTAGTATAGATGTAAAGGAAAGAAAATCAGATTTTTGTTTTATTTGCATCCCTTTGCATTATTGATTGGTTGTTCTGATGGACTGCTTTCTTTGCAGGTGTGGTTTCAGAATCGCAGAGCCAAGTGGAGGAAGAGGGAGCGTTTTGGCCAGATGCAACAAGTGCGCACACACTTTTCCACTACTTACGAACTGCCGCTTCTTACTCGACCTGAAAACTATGCACAGGTAAGGATATTAGAGGTCAACAGAAAACAGTAGTTATCAAAAAAAGTGAAGTGATTAATATTTCAACCCAATCATTTATGTGTCCTTTCGAGGATTTATGTAAAATCCAATGAACAATGTGAACCTCACTGGAGAGTGGCGTCCTAGTGGTTAGTAACCTGACTCCGCCAGATGGATTTGCTCCGCAAACCTTCCGTTGAAGTAATTTTGGGAAGGGGCGAAAATACTGGTTAGCTGATTGGCCTATGTAGGTGATAGACGGGCCAAATAAACCAATCAGATCAAAGAAGCATAAGACGTACTAACAGAGCGACGACGAAGAGGAGCCAATTGATAGATCAAACTCTTGCCGAAACCAGTCGGGAGAAGAGCAAAAACATCTTTTCCTCTGAGAAAAGCCTCCAGAGCAGTGTTTTGCTCTTCTTTCAGTGAAGAAATACTCTGTAATTCCGATAAAACTTGCTCGATAGCCACGCTAACGCTAGTTTCATCGGCTGAAGCCGCCATGTTCTTTAGACTGAACTGTCGCGCTTCTCGTTGCGTCACACCTCAACCCGCCTCAAAGCCAACGCTGATTGGACGTTCGTTTGGTGAACGGCTCCAAATTTTCTTTAACCGAGAGTCTCCAGACTGATCTGCGAGTGAAACCTTGAAAGCTCGCGAGATCAGGATGGTCTCACGAGGCTAAGTGGTTAGGGCATAGAGCTTGGAATCCTGAGGTTCCGAGTTTGAGCCCCACTCTCACAGACTGCCACTCTGGGTCCCTGAGCAAGACCCTTAGCTCCACACTGCTCCCCAGGCGCCGCACAATGGCAGCCCACTGCTCCCCAAGGGGATGGGTTAAATGCAGAGAGTTCATTTCGTTGCTCTGTACTTGTGACAATGTAATGACAATAAAACACTGTGTTCAGCTCTCTATGGGGGGCAGATAAAAATATCTGGAGCACCTGCTCATTTGTACCTTTTTCTGGACTTTATATATTAACGAACAAGAGAATATGACTGTTTTAAATTTATTTAGAAGTATTTATTGGGCATAAACAATGAGGGAGTCAAGTTTTCTATGTTGTGATGAAGTTTGCCCAGACTTAAAATGGTCACTATATATGTTTTTAGGAGATTTGATGTTGTTTTAATGCACAGGATACTTTTACAACTATTTAATTGTAGTCGGGAAAAGAGTTGACAGTGCTTAACATTCACAGGTTAGTATTTAGTCTTAGGTTAGTTAAAGAGGCATAAGGATTAGAGAGTGGGAGGGCTAAGGATAGCACCTTGGATTTAAAACCAACAACCAACAACAGCTTTAAAAGCTTTCTTTTACTTTAACTCCAAGTTATCTTGTTGTCTTTACATTGACTAAACTATAGGAGTATATAAACGGATAAATATAAAATTTAAAGCAAAATGCATAAAAAAACTCTACTTTTATAATGTAGAGAATTCCTTCCTAATTTACACAACCTATTCTAACATTACTTCTCACGTCAGATGAACTTTTGTACCTCATAGGTCAGAATTTGGTTTTCTTTTTTAAATAAAATAAGTTTAATAAAGTAAAACATTTTCCTTTTTCATTTGATCGCAAGACTACAGCTACATTATTGTGCCACAAGAGAAGACAAAGAACTGCTCCAATGTGATGGATGTCATGGTTGTTGCTCCTGCATGTATCTATTATATCCAGAACAGAAATTAAGCAAATGGTTGGAGCCAAACATAGAAGAGTTGAACTTATCCCCTCTAGATTATTAAGTTCTCACCCTGTGGACTTGATTCATTAATGCATTTCAATTCTACATATATTATTTATTAGAAGCAAGTACTAAACCATAATTCCTCCTCTTCTCCTTTAGATCCAGAACCCCTCGTGGATCGGGAGCAGCAGTGCAACTTCCCCGGTACCAGGCTGTGTCATGCCTTGCGATTCCGTCCCCTCCTGCATGCCACCTCACCCTCACGCTCCTGGAGGTGTCTCTGACTTCCTGAGTGTCCCCAGTCCAGGGAGCAGCCACATGGGACAGACTCACATGGGCAGTCTGTTTGGGGGTGCCGGGATCAGTGGTGGAATCAACGGTTATGACCTCAACGTTGATCCAGATCGCAAGTCCTCCAGCATAGCTGCACTGCGGATGAAGGCCAAGGAACACAGTGCAGCCATCTCTTGGGCTACATGATGTCCCAGTGCAGACCCACCCTGGTTCCTTCGATGGCCTCATCTCCAGAGCAGCCATCAGCCAGCACTGAGTAGGAGGAGAGAGTTTTTTCCTGAGAGCACTAATGATAACGCAGGTCAAATGAGCAGGGGGGGGGGGACAGAGGAGATAAGGGGGGCCCAAACAGCAGCCCATCCAATCCAGATAACTGGGACAATGACCAGCAGATGCTGCGTTTAAGACAAATACACAAAAAAAACGCCTTCAGCACATGTTGATTTTCTAGTAAAAAATGAATGAAATGCCTTAAAATAATCATTAATAGCATCAACTCACATTGACAATATTAGAGAAAAACAGCCTTAAATGTAGGTACATGTTGAGAAATCAAAGCTCATCTTTATAAAGCAAATAGTTACTTTCTCCCTAAGCCTTAATAATAATCATGATAGGCTGATTTTATACAAAGAAAAGCCTTTTAATAATAATTAAATAGAATAATAGAACTCTTATTAATCTCACATTGGAGAAATAAAATCTCTGCATTTAACCCATCCCTTTGTGGAGCAGTGGGCTGCCATCGTGGGGTTAAGGGTCTTGCTCAGAGACCCAGAGTGGCAGTTTGTGGGAGTGGGGCTCGAACTTAGAACCTCAGGATTCCAAGCTCTATGCCCTGACCACTACGCCCCCACTCCCCCACAATCCCTTTGGTCCGATGGGAGTACTTTCAATCTTTCTGGCAGCAAACAGTCCAGGTGTTTTGGAACTCCTCCTGTTCGTCAGTCGATACGATGAGGACCATCTATTCATGCTATGGTTGGGGAAGTTAGAGTCTATGAGTACGCAGGTGGCTGATCAGGCCAATCTGTGCACGGAATAGTCTTGGGCAATGTGGACAGGGAATGGTGGCGTCTGGTGCAAGATTGGCAGCTCTGATCTTCCTGGCTTGCCTACGCTCTACAGCCACAGCGATCCGGTTTGCCTCGCAAGCTTTGGCACCTTTTTGAACAGCGGATCACCACATTCCTTTGTCTTGCGCTGCCTGCTCCCATGTGTTGTGGTCGATGTTGAAGGCCTTCAACGAGGCTTTGAGCGTGTCCTTGAAACGCTTCTTTTGTCCACCTTGGGAGCGTTTTCCTTGCTGTAGCTCGCCAAACAACAGTTTCTTTGGGATGCGGACATCAGACATGCGAGCTACGAAGCTGGGACTGCATCAGGATAGTGTAAATTAGGGTTGTCACGATACTAAACTTTTCAACTCCATACCGATACTAAGGAAAATATTCGATTATCGATACCATTTTCGATACCACAAGGATAAAAACAAAGACTCCAAAATTCTACAGAAATATTTTAATTAATAAATAAAATACGATAAATAAATACAACAAACAATAAGAACAATATTTTGAGGTTGTATGCTGTGCACAATATTAAGCAAGCTTGATAAAAAATTTATAAAATTAAAATTAAGTTTTCCGTACTTGGCTATGCTTTGCACACATAATGACACTAGCCAAACCGGTTAAGAAACAAAAATAATTCTCAGCAGCTGCACTGCAAAAAATCTAAATCTAGATAAGTCATTTTTTCTTAAAATAAGTGCATTTGTTCTTGAATTGAGGAGGTAAAAGAGACATTTTGCCAGTGGAACAAGACAATTATCATTTAAAATAAGAAAACACAATTGCATTGTCTTATTTCAAGTGCATATTATCTAATTATCTTATTTTAAGAGTAAAATTACTCATTCCATTGGCAAACTATCTCATTTACCTACTCAAATTAAGGGTGAATACACTTAATTTAAGAAATTTTTACTTATTTCTAGATTGTTTTTGCAGTGCGTCTTACAAAAAAAAAGTGTGAAACTGAAAAGTGCGTAGAATTATTCAATCACACAGTGTTCTGAAAGTGCATTGTCCTCTTTTCTGCACTTTAGATGAATGACTGCTTAGGTGCCACTGGTGGTGGCACAGTATCGATACTTTTAAAAACGAGTATTGTATCCGGATACAACGTTTCAGTATCGATACTTTTGACAACCCTAGTGTAAATGCTGGGCAGGTCAGCATGGGTGAGGACCTCGGTGTCTGGGATCTTATCTCACCACTTTATTCCCAGAAGTTTCCTGAGGCAGGTGGTGTGAAAGTGGTTCAGCTTCTTGGCAGGACGCTGATAGACTGTCCATGTTTCACAGCCATAGAGTAGTGTGGTAACATGCATCTAAACACGGTGCAGGATCCATGATGCTATTTGGTCCTCAAGCGGCCTTTAAACCTTGTTTCTATTTACGACAATTTAACTAGAACATCAGTTTTCTCCACTAAAGAAACTAGAAAATTAGTTTTTTTTTGGCCAATTAAAAGGATCTGAGATCTGAGATCAGAAAAGCTCGCATGACTCTGGACATTCCTGAGAGATTGTGTAGAGAGGAATTGTCAAAGATGGTTTTCTGTTTTCTGCAGCCTTGTGATTGTGATAGAGAATAACAGGTTTCCTCCTTAAATAAGGATTTTAAACAAAGTTATAACCTCAGAAGTGGCAATGACTCAAAGGGGATTTTATTGAGAGCAATTATTTCTCCAAAAAATAACATTTTGCAGTGTGAGAATATGTTACTCTAATGCTTAAAACTTTTCACACATCTTTAGAGAAGTGCTGCGCATAACTCCTGATCTCTCTGGCCTCATTAAGTTAAAGGGTTTTACAACCTATTAAAATTCACAACGCTGAGAGGTTTAAGAACACAAGCAATTGAAAAACGCTTCATGAAGGCTTAATGAAATGTGCAGAATCTGATTAAAAAGTCGTTTAATTTCTTTCTGGCTTATTATTTTCCTCCTTTATCATGTTTTCATTTCAGCTGGCCGGCTGCACTCGTAATGGTTATGCCTAACACTTCAGACTGTTTACATTTTCAAACAAAGCTGGCATTTTGTAAGCTATCTGAGAACAAGTCTGTTCATTCTGAGCAGTCCCAGACACACTCATACGGCAAACCGTTTACATCCTGTCACTTTCTATTGCAAACTACGATTATGACAGAAAACAATCATTATATCCAAGCCTGTTGTGAGGAGTTTAAAAAGGGCAAAGGTTTAACGCAGTAAAGTGAAGCTAATCAAGCTCGATCAGAAATGGGCCGTCCATTTAGTCTGGTTATGTTGGCAGGCAGTAATTTCAAAGCAAACTGTCATTTCCCCTCCCAGGGTTTGCCTCCGTGGGGCTCTGGCCTCCAGTTTCAGGAAACAGAGTCCCCGCTGCAGCAACCTTCAGCACAAACCTACCGTGTCAGCTTCAATCAGCAGCTAACAGAAAGAGACAAACTTAATTAGCATCGGTCCACGTTTTCCCGCCATGTAAACACCGCTTTAAATTATGCCTGCAGGGCTGCTAACATATGCAAATGCTCAATTTATAATTACACATTAGTTCAGAGTCTGCCACAGACTGCATGGCTTTCTTGAATAGTTTTCTGTAATGTTTGGCTCACAGGATAGTGAGAGCTTAAGAGAGCAGAGATCTGTTTGTGTTAGCTCACCTTTAGAGGGTTGTCACCAGAGCTGGGCTCCTGGGTGATCCTAATCACAGGCATCATTAGTGTTTCAGCTGATTTCTACAATGGAAAAACGATCTAGAAATAAGTAAGGAATTCTTAAATTAAGTGTATTTACCCTTATTTTGAGCAGGTAAATGAGACGATTTGCCAATGGAATGAGTATTTTAACTCTTAAAATAAGATATTTAGATAAAATGCACTCGAAATAAGACAATACAATTGCTTTTTTTTATTTTAAATGTAAATTGTCTTGTTAAATTGGCAAAATGTCCTTTTACCTTCTCAATTCAAGAACAAATGCACGTATTTTAAGAAAAAAATGACTCATCTAGATTTGGATTTTTTCCAGTGTATGACACCAGCTAGGCCACATATAATCCTATTATCATTTACACTGGAAAAACGATCTAGAAATAAGTAAAAATGTCCTAAATTAAGTGTATTTACCCTTAATTTGAGTAGGTAAATGAGAAAGTTTGAGGATTATTACTCTTAAAATAAGATAATTAGATAATATGCACTTGAAATAAGACACTGCAATTGTTTTTTTGCTTATTTTAAGTGTAATTTGTCTTGTTCCATTGGCAAAATGTCTCTTTTACCTCCTCAATCCAAGAAAAATTTACTAATTTTTAGAAAAAATGTTTTATCAAGATTTCGATTTTTTTCCAGTGTAAAACTTGGGTTTTATGAGAGTTTTAGCTAATCAAAAACAAAATGTAGTTAATAAATGTGTTGTTGAAGGAAAATAATGAAAAAAAAATGTGCAACAGTATGTCTGGCATGTTTGAAACATGGCAAAAATTAGTCCAATGACTGATTTCACAGATAAAACAATTCATTAGTCATTTTGCACTGCAAAAAACATCTAGAAATAAGTGAAAAATGTCTTGAATTAAGTGTATTTACCCTTAATTTGAGCAGGTAAATAAGATGACCTGCCAATGGAATTAGTATTTTTACTCCAAAAATAAGATAATTAGCTAAAATATGCTTGAATTAAGACAAAACTATAGTTTTTTCTTATTTTAAATGTAAATTGTCTCGTTCCATTGGCAAAGTGTCACACTTACCTCCTCAATTCAAGAAAAACTGCACTAAATTTGAGCAAAAATTACTTATTTAGATATCCATTTTTTGCAGTGTGAAGGTGTTTTTCCTCGATGCTCTTCTCCTCTGCCGCTTCATCTATGTTGATACTACTGAAATAATGCAATTGAATTCAAATAATTGATGCCATATTGTTTGAATGTGAACAATGTAAATAATATTGTTTGTTTATTTGTAGATTTGTTTTTTGCTTCTTTTTTTTTTTTTTCTAATATTGGACCTTTAGTTCTAAACCGAAGAAGTATAACAGCAATAATGCTAAGTGTGCAAAGTTGTTTTGTAATTCAGAAAACAAATTTCTTTCTTTTTAATGTATTTGTTGTATCTTAATCACTTTTTTTTTTATCTTTGATGGTCTCTGATTATACAGTAAGTTATTGCACTTACAGTGCTTTTTTTTTTTTTTTTTAAGAAAAAAAGAAGTGTTGCTGAGGCCGTCTGGTAGCTCTGTGTCCCAGCTTTTGAAGAAATGTCTGCGAAGTCCGTCCATTTTTACTTCCAAGAATCAGAGCAGTGCCTCGTGCTGCAGGGCTTTGTATAGAATTAATACTTTGTTTTTCTGACATTATTTGTTTTGAATTAAATGAAATAAATCATTCTCTGAAAAAATTAAAGTGTGAAGAAGTCCTTCTTTCGAGGGTTAGTTAGAGTTACACTCTATAGATCGCCCAAATGCAGCCAAAAGATGGAAGAAAACTGCACTGGAAAAATCTAAATCTAGGTAAGTCATTATTTCTTAAAATAAGTGCATTTGTTCTTGAATTTAGAAGGTAAAAGACATATTTTGCCAATGAAACAAGACAATTTACATTTAAAATAAGAAAACACAATTACATTGTCTTATTTCAAGTGCATTTTATCTAAATATCTTATTTTAAGAGTAAAAATACTCATTCAATTGGCAAATTATGTCATTTACCTACTCAAATTAAGGGTAAATTCACTCAATTTGAGACATTTTTACTTATTTCTAGATCGTTTTTTTCAGTGCGGAAAACTACTTGATTCTATCCAGAGACATTTTACACTAGGACACTGGGTTCCTTTAAATTGTATTTTAGGGGAACCTTTCAATTCAATCTGAAAAACTCACATGGAAAGAAAAGACAATCAAAAGAATTTTATAGATACAATTACTTTAGTTTTTGGCGCTCGACCTCAGCAGGAAACTTTAGCACTGAATTTTGCTTTGATATGCGTAAACAGGTGTAAAGAATAGGGATGTTTCCCCCCAGGCCTGAAACTGACGGTGGAGTGGAGATAGATGAAGTTGGTCAGGGACCTGGAAGATGGAAGTCTAGCTTAAATAACACATGTAACATGAACCTGTCCATGATGAGCAAGCATGAAGCGACAGTGGAGAGGAAAAACTCCCCTTTGGGAAGAAACCTCTGGCAGAACCAGGCTAAACATGGCGGTCTTCTGCCAGACGGGAGAAGGGAATGCAGTAAGAGTCCGGGAGGAATGACACTGATGAAGCTTTAGCTACGAAGGTGGAGGAAGGGATGGAGGTGGGTTGAATGGAGGTCAGCTGAATCAGACGTAGCGCAACCACTGCCTGCGCTCTAAGTAGCAGACTGAGTTGTGGATTTGGAACTCTAAAATTGTGGAGGTGTGGTTCAAAGCTGATTAGCTTGTGACGGAGGCAGATGAGGGTAAGTAATAATTTC